TACCCAGCTGAAGGCCTCTTTGTGGCATTTGGGTTTCCATATGCTGCACTGAACAAAAACGTCTACTTACGTGCCAGGTGGGTGAAAAAGTAGCCGGAATAAGCCACGGTAAAAGCCGTGAAAGCTGCAGCACACACTCCCTCCATGGCTGGAGCAGTGCTGCTCAATCTGCAAGGGACAAAGCCTGTAGGGAGAAAACAAAAAAACTCAAGAGTCCTGCTGGCAGAGACCTCGTGGATCAGCAGGTTCCCCTGCAGTGAGCGTGCCGCAGAGCTGCTCTGCACACTGAGCCCTTCCGGGCCTCGGCACAGCAACTCTGCCTGACAACGCTGCCATGCGGCCGCTGACATCACAATAGCAGTGCCCTGGGCTGCTTTGTGAGTTCATGCACAGAACCACACCTTCTCTACAGATGATGCCAAAAAAAGCCTGCAGCGTTCTCCTCTGCTACAAAGCCACACAAAAAGCCCCTCTAGTCCATCACCTGTTGCTCAAGGCATCTAAGAGTAAAAACACACTAAGCCCCTCTAGCCCACACTGAGAAGCTGAGCACTGAGAAGGGAGCAGGATGTGAGGAACCACATTAGTGCTCTTTGGCCACTATTGCTTCTGAGCAAAAACCAGAAGGCTTCTTCCAGCGGGACCTCCCTTAGTTCTAGAAAGCAGCAAACTATCAGAACCCAGGAAATTCCTCTGCCTGCCCTGGAGGGCTCAAGCCGCTGCCCGGGGGCTCAGAGACTTTGGCACAGAGCCCAAGATGCCTGTGCCTTTGATTTAGCCCTTGGAAAAAACAATCACCAATCTTAATATGAAGAATTACAAGTCAAAAGAGTTTAAGTAGAATAATAGGTAGTTTGTCACCAGGTGAAAAATAGATTTTTGAGGTTTTGAAAATGACAGCTCGGGGGTCTCAAGATGGAGGAATTTGGATGTGGCTTGTCCTTTTTCCTCCTTCTTCCTAGCCACCATCTTCTGAGTGATGTTGGCACTTTTAGATTGGTTTAGAGGAGAAGTTCACTGTCTCACATAGGTGATAGGTATTGGGAAGTTATTGTAAATAGTGTACACATAGTTTTGGGTATAAAAAGACAACACTGCCTCTGAGGTGGGCAGTGTGCCTCAACCCAAGCTGCTAGACAGACCTTGGCACATTGGAGAAAGAATATTATAGATAAGAAACAATAAACAACCTTGAGACCAAGAACAGAAGAGTTCCCACTCCTTCTTCAACTGCCGGGCTGGGGAAAGAGACTTTCTAACGCATCTCACGATCACTCTGACCAGCAGAGATTGCAAGAGCAAACAGGGAGAAGCACGACTTCAATGACATTTAGAGTTTCCTCCTAGGTACAGAGACAAGGCCATGTGTCTTTCAGCACTATTTATTCAAAGCATTTTACATCACAGCCGTGGCTGTGATTTCAGCAGGGAAACGCCATGACAGGAAATGCAAGGAGGATCCTTCTCTCTGACTCACTCTAGCAGAGAGGCCTTGGCACCAAAGCACCACCACCATTTTTTCCCCCCACTTTTGTCCTTCCTCAGTAATTTTTAGGACACAGGGCTGAGATGGGTGGCACTGAAGTGACAGCTCTGACACACAGCTGAAACCATCAGGGCCGGGGGGCATGTGCGACTGTTTTTCTTCTCCAGCAGAACAAGGCAAGCCAGAGTGTTCACACTGATACCAAGCGAGTTCAGCCAAGCCCAAAGGGAGTGCAGCCAAGCCAAGTGCAGCCCAGCAGGCTGGGAGGAAGAGGCAGCAAAGTGGCAGATCCCATTGCCACGCACACGCCCGGCGTGGCGGACTGATGGCAGCGGCAGTGCCAAACAGAGCTCCGCAGGGAGAGACAGACACCCATCACCATCGCCACTGCCACCAGCACTGCCGCAGAGAGGGAGCAGCAAACTGCCACTGCAGGGCCAGAGCTGCTCCCGGCAGCACCAGCAGCCCCCATCTACCATCAGAACCATGCTGGAAGCCCTGGCCATCCTGTCTTTGCTCCAGGGGCCCCGTGTGACACTGCACCTTTCTTGCTTAAGCCATTACCTCTTTCGCACAATTTTCTTCCTATTGTCGTCTACTGCTGCTTTTTTTTTTCCCCTCACTACATTATAACTCTAACATTCTCAGCTTCTCATAGATTGGTTTTTCCATTGTCCCCCTCCATTGTGGTGGAGAAGGGGAGAGAGGAGAGGCTTTCCCAGGACTACCTCAAGAAGAGGACATAGAAAGGAGGGAAGGCCTTAGAAAGGAAAAACAACGCTCAGGATGCCTCTTTGGGAGGGAAGCAAATGTGCAAGCTTCTTAATATCCAGCCACAAATCTCTGGAGTCTTGACAGCCAAGAAGCACAGGAACCTGGAAACCTTGTTGTGAGACACTGGAGGACATTGCTGGCTCAAGCCCTTTCAGGCGCTTGTAGGTGGGGAAAGGGGCAGATCAAGCCTTGCTCTGCTGAGGCCATGCCCTACTCTGCACGCCCCACACCCCCAGGCCTGCATCCCAGCCCAGCTGTGGCCGCTGATCCCTGGCACACCAAAGGCTCCACACCTGTGTCTGGAGCCCCTAACCCAGCTCCTAAATGGCCAGGTGAGTGGCAGCCCCATGTGGGGGAAGGCCCCAGGAAAGCCAAAGGCTATTTACCTCGGGATGTGTGGCCACCACATCTCTTGACCCTACCTCCTCTTGGTCTCATTTGCAAGCTGAGCTTCCTATCCCCTTTCAAAGCCTTTCACAGTCTAGTGCTCTGTCAACAGTGCCTCAGTTCCCTGGTGGGAATTCTGAAGTCCTTTCCGAGAAGCCTTGCCTGAAAGAGAACAGGTCTGGCTTGCAGTGCATTGCTCTGGAGGCCTTAGGAAGTTGCTTTGCCAGCCCTTACCCACTTACTGGCCAAAAAACACATGTGAAAGACTGAAGCTTTGCCAGCTGTGACAGTGGCCCAAAGAGAAGGCAGTTAGGGGCAAAATAAGGAGAATTATTTTGGTGCTGGCACACACATCAGGTACCAGGTGGGTGAGAAAAGCCATCTGTAAATAGCTCAGCTGACAATCTGGGAGGGGAAGGTGCAAAGAAAGGCAGAGGTAGAAATCTCAAAGGAATGAGAGGACTATGGACAGAAGTTGAAACTAGCCAAAAGAAAAAACAACAAAAAAAAAAGAGTAATTGGATGAAATACTGATAAAATTCAGCAAGTCTTCTCTTGGTGCTGGATGGTGCATTGGGGGATAGTGTTGGCAGCTTTGGGTGCCCATCCCAAAGCCATCACCTGTTTTCCCTGTGCCCTGACGGGTTCAGACAGGCTGTTGATCTGCATGGCCACTCCCAGTTGGCCCCAGAGTCCTCTCCACTTCATGATCAGCTCACCATAAGTTTTCTGGCTGTCATCCGTTGTGGCTTCTCTTCTCCTGAGCCTTGGTGTTGGTCATTGTTGTCTGATGTGTGGCTGTGTGGTCATTTTTGGCCCGTGCCCTCCAGGACAAACCCCCACACTCCCCCTTTTTTGTTTTATTTAAAATGAAAGGTATAACAATCATAGTAAAAATAATATCTTCTTATACCTAAAACCAACACAATACTTAGTAGATTTTAACTAAACTTGGGAATTAAAATGAACAGGTGGGTTGATATTGCAGACATAAGCAAACAATAAGTAAATACAATTTTCATTTTCCCTCACTTCGCGGGCCCTGACTCCCAGATGGCTCCCCGCCACTTCATTCCCTTTCACTTACCCACAAAACAAAAGAGAACAGAAAATCAAAGCCAAAAGACTTATGGTGGAACCTTTCCCGCGTGGCCTTCAGCAAACACAAGTCAAAAGAAAAGGTTTCATGGGGGACTAGAATGGGGGAACGTTCCGGTGGTGCAGGGCACAGAACTCCTGTGGGGGCAACAGAGTCGGTCCTCCAGCTGTTTTATTCTCAACTTCTATTGTAGCTCTGACCTCTGAAATATGTATTGCAGCAAAAATGGGAGTCTGCTAATACAAGAGGAAAGCAGGGGCAGGGTTGAGGGCAGTCAGAAAGTGGGTTAGGGTAGAATCCAGGACGCCATGGCCGGTGCCGTCCTGACAAGGGGTCAGAAGAGGAGGGGAGATGGCAGATGGCTGGTGGCTCGCCTGTGCTTGCTCTTGAGCAGGTTCCATCTCCTGGCCTGTCCTTCCCAGGGACAATGGGTTCAGGGAAGTGGGGGAAGAACATGAAAACTGGGAAAGGAAGTCTATAAAATATAGTGCAACCAAAATTTATATTTAAATTTAAATGCTAGTCAAATATACCATCAGTTACCACCAAACATAGCAAAGTAAATGATTTTCAATAATCACGGTATCAAATGTATATTGAAACGATAAACAGGAGACCATGGGAGAGGTTAAAGTCTAGGGGACATTCTTCCAGGCCACAGCCCCAGGAAGTGCCCTAGCAGGCCCACAGGCCTCCACAGTGGCTCAGGCAGGTCCCAACTGCACAAGTTTTCACTCCCTCATGTTGGCCTTGGTTCCCGTGGCAGAACTTGCCTTCCCGCTGGACACTCACCTGCGCCTGAGCCCCTGGAGAAGCCCGGCTCCCTCCCCCTCTGCCCACAGCCACAGCAGCATCCCCAGCAGTGACACCACTGCTCTGCTCCATTCTGCCCTACTCTGCTCCTCTAGCCACAGCTGCAATGCCTCTATCTCCACAAGAGCTTGTGGCCTGCAGGCACTGAAGGAAGAAGACCTTTGCACGCTTCCAAACCATGCCGCAAATCCCATCCATGTGTCTTCCCACATCGAAGAAACACCTGAGCATTCAGAAGCAAATTTAGAGCTTATTCACAGGGTGAGAACAAAGGGAAGCTTCCAGCACAGTGAAGGTTTTATTTATTATAGTATTTATTTTGCCTATTCGAATAAAGAGACTACGAACTATGACCTAGAAACTAGAAACTTCAAACTACGAGCTATAATCTACAAACTACAAACTACAAAGTGCAAACAACAACAATGGCCTCTTCCAGGGCTAGTATCTCCTGTTGGCCATAAACTGCTGCGTGGCCATGATCAGAGGCGTCAGGTCGGAGGTCGGCTTGGCTGATGTTACAAACGGATGCTGCCCAAAGAGAAAAAGAAAAACATGAACTTGTACTTTCCTCACAGGCTGAAACAGGCTTTCTCTGGCTACCAGAAAGATACAGAAAGAAGAAAAGGAGGGCATTCTGGGCACCACTGTCTCCACATCCAGGACCTTGCTACATGAGGCAAAATGGCTCCCAATCCCACAAATCCGTGACTCCAGATGTCTTCAACTTAAGGAGATTTGGTCTAGGTGACCTTGAAAGGCTCCTTCCAAGGCATCCTAGGCCAGGATTCTCCTTTGTTTTCCTTTGCAAGCCCCCAGAGTGGAGATTCTTAGGAGCGGGCCCCATCAGACGCCTTGGACTTGAGCAGATGAGGAGCCCCTGGCAGCGGGCAGCTGGCGCAGCCTGCAGCCGCTTTGCCTTTTACCTGCAGCAGTTCCTGGGCAGACCAGCGCCTGTCCTCGTCCCTCTCCAGGCAGCAGTGCAGAAAGTCTCGCAACCACGCCGACTGCTGCCTGGGCTTCTGCAGCTTTGGCCTGCCCCCGCTGCTGATCAGCTCTTGAACCTAGAGAAGAAGGAAATGCCACGCTCTACCTGTCTCCTTCGCACCCCAAACTGCTCACACACACCCCACGGGACAGGCTCCACTCTCCCGTGGCACTTTACTCCCTGCCAGAGCCTGGCAGATACCATTCCTACCCCTACTGAAAGAACACAAAGCCACAGGCAGCCATAGCCAGTCCAATAGGCAAAGGCTCTTGCCTTCACCCCTGATTTCACTGGCTGATGGGGACTAAAAGCCCAGCTTTGCCCTTTTGTCAAAGCTTCCGTCAAGCAAAAGGCATCACCACTTTTTGTGCGGTTCGTGCACTGCAATGGCAAGGGGACGATCTGGACAAGGAGCACGAGAGACTATGCAGCCTGGCACCTCTCATTTCCAGGTGTTAGCAAGCTTGCCAGGCAGAAGAATGGGAGCAGATTGTGTTTGGGTGACAGCAGTATCTGAGAGCAGTTGCAGCGCACCGTGCGGGAGGTTTTCATCCGGTAAGGAGGCGCCCCTTCCACCATCTCGATCCCCACAATGCCAAAGGACCAGATGTCCACTTTGGGGCCATAGAGCTTCCTGGTGAAGATTTCTGGCGCCATCCAGTAAGTGGTCCCAACAGCTGATCTCCGTTTGCTCTGCTCAGCGGTCAGCTGAGCAGCAAGGCCAAAATCAGCTGAGGAGAAAAAACAGGCCAGCGTGAATGAGGAAAGCAAAGCAAAGAAATCCCCACTGTACCAATGTCCAAGAGGGCAGCGTGGAACCCGGCTGCCAGCAAGGGGCCATGCTGCCATTCCTCTGGCCTGCAGCCGAGGAAATACCGAATTGGCCAGTTAGCAAAAGCCCCAGCTTTCAGGCAGTGGCTTTTAGTGCCCTGAAGCTATTAGACTGTAAGTGCCTTGCTTGGGAAGGGACACACGCACAAGCCAAAGGCACTCCTGAGCCCTTGTTCCCAGCAACACCTCCCTGCACCTTGGGGCTCTGCTCTGCACTTGTATCAGGGCAGCCTGGACTGCCACAGGCACCGCTGCAGGGAACCGGCAGTCACCCAAAGGCAGCCCCACACCGCAGCCTGCCAGAGCTGAGCCTGGCCAACAACACCCACCCAACTTGACGGATCCGTCCAGACGCAGGAGAATGTTGTGGCTTTTGACGTCCCGGTGGATCACTTGCTTGGAGTGAAGGAAATCCAGGCCTTGCAGGCACTGAGAGAGGAAAAAGAAACACCAGCCTAAGTGGATTTCATCCCACAAGCGGGGAAGTGGCACATCTGCAACACTGCAACATTCCTGGGCCATGCTGAGCCATGGCACGACAGGCTGCTGGCAAGGGCAAGAGCTTGCTGCTCCAACACAAGGACAGCAGTGCCTTTCTAAGTGAGGGTGTGTTTGCTTCTGAAAGAGAAAGGACAATTGTTCCTCCGGCCACTGCCCTGCAACCACAGACTGAAGCAGCACTGCTGCAGTGGCTGTGCTCTCTCCAGCCAGACAAGAGTGGATGCTTTTGCAAACACCCCTTTGGTGCAAGGCTCTCTTGGAGGCTGAGCTCCATGACAGCCCAGTGTGTATCTTTGTCTGTGCCACTTATTTTACATTGTGCCACCAGTACTTTGCCCGTCCAGGGAAGGAATGCAGCACACACAGGCTCCAGGCAAGTGTTTAGAGAGGCAAACACAAACACACTAGAAGAAGGGCAGGGACACTGGCAGGCACTTCAGATGCTCTTGCTACTGCCAGTCATAAGAGAAAGGCAGCAAGGAGGCTCAGAAGATGAAATCTCTCCTCTCCTTGTCACCCATTTGGAAGGACCATCCCGACCAAGGCATGGGAAGCACAGGCACCATCCCTTACCTCCCGAGAGACAGCTGCTATCTCTCCTTCTGCCAGGCGAGTCTCCCTGATGACATCGTGTAAGGAACCTCCGTCCATGTATTCCATCACGAGCCAGAGTTCCTCGTCCAGCAGGTAGCTGAAAGGAGGAAACAACAGCCTGGAGATGAAGGCGTGCACTCACACCACCTGCTGGATTCTTGTTTCTGTGTCTCTCTCAGAGGAAGACAGGAGGAAGTGAGCAGTCATTCACTACGCTCTACAGGCCTTGAACTCTGGGCAGTCTAAAACACTGCTTGCTATCCACACCAACGAACAGGCCAAGGGAAATACAATCTACAGTGCTTTGGCAGCACTTCAGACCCATGGGAAAAAAATCCAAGCCCAAAGCCAACAAAACCATGGGGAGAGAGCACAGGAACTTTGAGGCTGTTGGCTCAGTAAGATAGGGCCAAGTCTGGCCTTTGAAAGCGCCCTTCAAACTCGGTATGCCAGGAAAGAGTAATGCAGCCCCAATGCAATCTCCTCCCAAGACACTGTAGATCAGCCCAGAAACAGGAATGAACAGCTCCATCCTCTGCCATCCACCAAAGGAGTGCTTGAACCTCTGGCTTGCAGGATGTGAATGACCTTTCACAGCAGAACAGCAGAACCACTCACCTGTCTACATAGTTGACAAGGTTGGCGTGCTTATTGCCACGCATGACCTGGATTTCATTCAGGCACAGTTCGCTGCCGCTCTCTTGCAGGAGACTAATTTTCTTTATGGCCACCTAAAACGACAGGGAAAACCATGAACCAAAGAAGTCTGTGGCACAGGACCACAAGGGCAACATGGAGACAGTGATTATGGGATGATAGTGCTGGGCTGGGCCAAGCTGCCTTGTGACAGGACATCAGACCGCCTGCTCGGGCACCTCCCAGGACACAGAGCCACATAGCCTCTGCCTTGGAAACCTGGCAGAAACACGCTCTAAGCTCTCCACCTCAGAGGTCTAACAACACTCACTGTGCCCAGGGCCAGTCTTCTCCCATGGCCTTACTTTATCATCCCCATGCTCATTCACACACCTCTTGCAAGCAGAAAGCCATTTTGTGCCAGTAAAAATGGAGCAAAACTGCTGGCAAACCATTGGCACTTCTAGGGGATTGGATCATTACTCCAGCAGTCACTGGCATTCTCCATGGCACAACAACAAAGCAAACAGTTAGAGGTGTGGCAGATAAAATGCTGTCCTAAAAACATCCTGAGGGCTATTCCTCCTAAGATATACAACCCTACATACTTCACAATGAAAAAATGCCACAATGATGAAAACATCATTAAGGACACCTCCAAAAACCACAATCCTAGCATTTCCTCACTCCAGGAATTTTCATTTTGCTCCACTCAAATACTTTTCTTCACACCACTGACTTTTGCAATTACTGCCTGACTGTAAAACGAAATAACCCAGGCCATGATCTTCTAGGGATATACACCGGGCTATGGGCAGGGCTTAGGCCCTTGAGAGACTCCTTGCAGACCACTCTGTCTAAGCACAGTTCCAAGGGCAGCACTGCAGGTGCCTACAGAACTATCAGCACGATTCCCATCTATTTGCTAACAGCCAGAAAAGAGAACTCAGGAACCCTGCAGCCCCAAAGAGCAGTGCCATGCTCTGAGACACCACCTGGGCACTAAGACCCAGCCAGCGTGTCCTCCTCTGGCCTCCTTGCATTCCCAGGGGCAGCTGAGAAGGACAAAATCTGTCCCCACTCTATTTGGCAGGGCGGACACTGCTCTGCACTTCATCTGCCTTTGCAGCAAAGCTCTCCTGGCCACCCAAAGCTCAGCCACAGCTCACAGCAGAGGGGAGGGCACTCGAGAGCTGCAGAAGCTGCGGCGCTGCTTGGCGCTTACCTCTTCTCCTGTGGCAGTCTCCACTGCCATGCACACCGTGCCGAAACCCCTAGAAACAAAACAGCAGCGGAGAAAGAAGAAGTCCTTTAGTCCCTGCCACTGCAAGACACTGCAGTCCAATGGCAAATAAGTCCTGGGGCAAACAGTAAATGGAATAGGACAGATTCTCCTCTGGGTCTTTCCCCCCTTTTCTCTTTCTGTATCTGTACATGTGTGGGATTTTTCCAGGAACTTGCCAGTTGGGCCTTCTCCCACTTCTCCCTGGAGCCTGTCTGCCAAACTCAAGCACCACTACCGAGGCCTTCTGAGAAGCCTGAGGCCGCGGAGCAGCCATTGCAGGAAAGCCTCCAGACACAGATCCCTTCTCCAGCTTGCAAGGAAGTTAGTGCCCAGCCATAGCTGCAGCCACAGCCAGAGCGGGGAAAGGCTTCCATTGCTGCACACACAAATGGAGAAGTCCTCAAAACACAGGATCCTTGGACAGCGGCGTTCTGAGTCCAGAGCTGTTGTCAGCTGCTTCTCTTCGGTGCACCAGACACCTGGAGGACTCTGCTTTTCTGGAGACTTCTTGTACATTTGGCTTCTCACAGGGAAAATGTTGCAAATCAGTCCCATTTCCAGTCAGCAGAGCCGGCTTTCAAAGGGAACAGCTTGATGGATTCTTTGCAGGAAAGGCCTAAACCCCACAGGATCCACCAGGGTTCTGCCATCAGCCAGATGACGCCTTTTCCTCTGGAGTGCATTGGCACTGGCCATTGCCCTGAAGCTTTGTCTTTTGCCACCTCAGCTACAAAAGAGAGCTGCTTCTTTCATTTCTGCTTTTGGCTGCTAGGCTAGGTGGTGGTCATCCAGACCACTGAATCTTGCTTTCAGCAAAATACTGGAAAGAAATGTTACCCAGAGCTGTTCCCTGACAGCTGTCAGCTGCTGACTTGACCTCTGAGGCAACAAAGTTTCTCCTCCTTTCATTCCCACGCATTCTGTATTCTTTTGAGACATGCAAAAATGCTTTCTCCTAGAAAGAGCGGCAATCAGGTGCAACAGACTTGAGGGACAGGAGATCTGCCAGGTGCTGCTCTTTGCCGCAGAAAAGACATTGCCAGCGTCCAGGTGTCTTTGCCGCCCTGCCTTCGGACCACAGCTGTAAATGCTGACCAGTACTGAGAGATCATCAGGCATCATCCTAACGCAGTGTCTGAACAGCTTTGGAGCTTGCCTGACGTCGCTCTGGGGAGATGTGACACCAGCAAAATGCACAGGCCCTGCCTTTGAAGAAGGAGCTACGGCTGCACTCACCCTTTGCCAATGGTTTCCAGCTCTGTGTATTCAGCCTCAGGATCTCCCTCGCTCACCAGCATCTCTGGAAAAATCCCAAGGAAAGATGCTCACTTCAAAAGAGATCCCACCCTGCAGCAGATCAGAAAGGCAGCCCCACTCTCTGCCACTCTGGGCCCTTTCAACTCAGGCAGTCGGCAAACAACAACACCACCGCACCACCACCACCACCACCTCAGAAACAACAGCAGCAAGACGAGCAGCCCTGCAGCACAGATGGCCTGCACCAAACTAGACGTCTAAACTAAAATCTAAGCACGTGCAGAAACAGTCAGAGGATGCAGGGATCAGAAAGCTGTAACCAAGAGAACTGGTTGTTGTCTAGAAATGTTAAGGGCAGCAGGAATAACAAAACCTTGCTGGTCTTGGCAATCAACACTCTGTGACCTTCAAGCAAAGCTTTAATCCTTGCAATCATCAAAGGCATCCTGGCTCCTGGAATCAATTGTTCTCAACAGCTGCCCTTTGCAGGACAGCAAGAATATTGCAAAGTGCTTCCAGCAGAAGCACAATCTGCAGCTTTGAGCAGGACAATTTTGCCTAAACAATGGCCTTCTGCCTTTCAGGAGCAGCAGCTCATGTTCCAACCTACTGTGCTGGGCCTTAGGAATGAGGTGCCTCAGCCTTTAGGACAGGCCGAGTTCTGAAGATGACCTTGGCCGTGCCCCACAGGAGCTCCTTGAGCGCCTACTCATTGGCTGGGTCACGGCCTCCTGCTCAGCCAGAAACAATCTCTGGTTTGCCTTTTGCCTCCAGGGAAGCTCAGGCAAAGCCAAGCCAGGCTGAGCTGCTCTCAGAGGCAGGAGCAAGACCCCGGTGACCCCTCACCACCTCAAAGCACAACAACAGGTCCTGTGTGGAGGCCTCAGGAGCTGGCACTCAGCTGAGGAGGAACAGGAGCTGGGACAGCTCATGCCGACACACGCACACACAGGGCACTGCTCCAGCAGACAAGGATCACAAAGGACGTACTCAGCATGGCCAGGCACTTGTCCTCTGTCCTCTCTCCCAGCTGCTCTCTGCTGCCAGAGGAGCTACTGGTGCTCCAGATGCACGAGCTGCTCCCGCTGCACTTGCCAGCTTGGGGACTGGAGGCTCCTTCAGAGCCTTCTGCTGCAGCTCCTGCAGGTGCCAGGACAGAGGAGGTGGAGCTCTGGGAAAAGAAATGAGTGAGGTCACAAATGTGCCTGGCAGAGGTGCCCCTGCCATCCCATTTCAAATGCAAGCCCCTGGGAAGATGCTGCTGGCCACAGCCAGGGCTCTTCACCTCTCAGCTTTTGCAGCCCGCTTCTCCAGATCAAGGCCCAAAATCCAAAGGCTGCTTTCACACCATGGACAAAATGACACCACACTCACTGCTAACCAAAGCAGGCACTTACTGATGATGTTTGCTCTGGGCCTGGGCTGACAGCAGGGGCAGGTTCATGAGCACCTTCCTCCTCTTCAGCCTCTTCCTCGCGTGCAGAGGCAGCCAGAGCAGGTGCTGACGCTGCCCTTCTGCTCTGGGGACACACAGCAGCATGAGGGACAGGAAAGAACCTGGCATTCACCACCTCACCTATATTCAGCTACAGGCCCCGCTGCATCTCAGCTGTTCCTTTAGCTACTGACAGCTGCTGTCTGCGCAGGGCCAGGTCCCTCCTGGGGACAGTGTCTCCTCATATCCTGCAAGCTTCTGAACTGCACCTTTGCACTGCTCTCTTCACTGGGGACAGGGAGCCTGCACAGCCACTGGCCACCAAGGGCCTCACTTGTACCCCAGCAGCATGCCAAGACATCCTAATGCTACCTCCTGTCTCTTGCTAAGACAAATTCACAGCCTCTTTCAGAACAGTAGGAAGGTGATCCCTGAACTTCCAAGTTCCAGGCCTCACTGCCTGCGGGAAGGGCAGGAAAGATTCCAGCCCTCAGCATCTTCAGCCAGGCACGGGAGGTGCTGTCTGATCAGAAACTTGCAGCTATGCTTTGCTCCAGCCACAGGACTGCCCAGAGCTGCCACTTACTGATGCTGCATGCTCAGGCCCTGCAGTGGCAGCAGGTACACTTTGCTGGGCATCTTCCTCCCCTTGGGCCTCTTCTTCAGGAAGACACACAGCCACTGGAGGCTCCGAGGTTCCCTCTGGGCTCTGCAGACAGACAGCAGCGTCAGGGACACGTAACCGCCTTTATATTCAGCTCTAGACCCAGATGCACTCAGGAGAAAGCATCTGCAGAGAAGTGGGATTCTAAGGTGCTCAGACTCAAGTAAAATGGGCCAGCTGGATTGGACTGCGCTCTCTTGTACAGGAGAAATTCCATCATGGCAGCCACCACTTTCAGCTGCTTAAAAGTTCTGGAAAGGAACGGGAGAAAACAGCCCTGGGTCCTCCTGCTGCTGCTGTTGCTGCAAAGGGCCTGGGCTGTACTTTCATTCATCCAGCCAGGCTGGCACCGGACTGCAACAGGCCCAGCTCACAGCTTGCTCCGCAATTGCCAAATGCTACCAAGGCCAGAGGCTCCTTTGCCACTCACCCAAAGAGCAGATTCTCTCCAGGCACGGCTGATGTGACCTGCAACACACAAGGGAAAAAGAACCAGATGCTCTAAGAAAACTGCCTGTGCTGGCCATGCCCACCCCAAAGTCAACCCAAAGACAGAGCATTCTGCTTTCACTACACCACTCCAGCAGCATCCCTTGTGGCACACAGCAAGCAAGACAACAGCAGCACAAAATACTGCCTGGTGTCTACCTTGTCTCTCCTCTTTGGCCACTCAACCCATAGAAACTTGAGACTAAGTCTACAAGTGGTTCTCTAACAGTCATTGCTTCTGCCCCACCTCACCCAGCAGCGGCTACAGCTCCTCTCTTTCCTGTATTTCAGTCTGCTCAAGACATTGCATGCAGCAATTGCCATGAGCTTACTGAAAACCTTTCCCCAGGGAGGCTTCACCCAAGTCCCTCTGAGCCATGGTGGCAGTCCTATCATGACACAGCACAGGAACAGCTGCTGTGTGTGGGAGCATACAAGAACTCCTCAAAAATGTCCATCTCAGAGGCCTTTACCAAGCTCATTCTGTGATTTCATCACAGAACAAATGGCTCTTTTAGCGCGCAGGAAGTGTCAAGTTCCACAGGCAAATGCTGGGATGAGGGAATGCAGACAAGAAGCCTTGAACTGAGGGACTTTGCCTCAGTCCTGGAGAGCAGTGCACAGCTTTTACAAGGACTCCTGCCAAGCTCTCCCAGTCTTCCCATCCTGGAAGTTGTCTTGCTTGAGCCAGCAAACTGAGGAGACTCCAGACTCCATTGCCACAGGCCGTGGCACGGCAGGAGCGGAATCCCCGCAGGCTGCATCACAAATGCTGCCCATGCCCCACTGGCTAGAGACACGCCCTTCTTAGCTGGAGCTGTGGGCAGGGGTGTTACCCAGCTGAAGGCCTCTTTGTGGCATTTGGGTTTCCATATGCTGCACTGAACAAAAACGTCTACTTACGTGCCAGGTGGGTGAAAAAGTACCCGGAATAAGCCACGGTAAAAGCCGTGAAAGCTGCAGCACACACTCCCTCCATGGCTGGAGCAGTGCTGCTCAATCTGCAAGGGACAAAGCCTGTAGGGAGAAAACAAAAAAACTCAAGAGTCCTGCTGGCAGAGACCTCGTGGATCAGCAGGTTCCCCTGCAGTGAGCGTGCCGCAGAGCTGCTCTGCACACTGAGCCCTTCCGGGCCTCGGCACAGCAACTCTGCCTGACAACGCTGCCATGCGGCCGCTGACATCACAATAGCAGTGCCCTGGGCTGCTTTGTGAGTTCATGCACAGAACCACACCTTCTCTACAGATGATGCCAAAAAAAGCCTGCAGCGTTCTCCTCTGCTACAAAGCCACACAAAAAGCCCCTCTAGTCCATCACCTGTTGCTCAAGGCATCTAAGAGTAAAAACACACTAAGCCCCTCTAGCCCACACTGAGAAGCTGAGCCCTGAGAAGGGAGCAGGATGTGAGGAACCACATTAGTGCTCTTTGGCCACTATTGCTTCTGAGCAAAAACCAGAAGGCTTCTTCCAGCGGGACCTCCCTTAGTTCTAGAAAGCAGCAAACTATCAGAACCCAGGAAATTCCTCTGCCTGCCCTGGAGGGCTCAAGCCGCTGCCCGGGGGCTCAGAGACTTTGGCACAGAGCCCAAGATGCCTGTGCCTTTGATTTAGCCCTTGGAAAAAACAATCACCAATCTTAATATGAAGAATTACAAGTCAAAAGAGTTTAAGTAGAATAATAGGTAGTTTGTCACCAGGTGAAAAATAGATTTTTGAGGTTTTGAAAATGACAGCTCGGGGGTCTCAAGATGGAGGAATTTGGATGTGGCTTGTCCTTTTTCCTCCTTCTTCCTAGCCACCATCTTCTGAGTGATGTTGGCACTTTTAGATTGGTTTAGAGGAGAAGTTCACTGTCTCACATAGGTGATAGGTATTGGGAAGTTATTGTAAATAGTGTACACATAGTTTTGGGTATAAAAAGACAACACTGCCTCTGAGGTGGGCAGTGTGCCTCAACCCAAGCTGCTAGACAGACCTTGGCACATTGGAGAAAGAATATTATAGATAAGAAACAATAAACAACCTTGAGACCAAGAACAGAAGAGTTCCCACTCCTTCTTCAACTGCCGGGCTGGGGAAAGAGACTTTCTAACGCATCTCAGGATCACTCTGACCAGCAGAGATTGCAAGAGCAAACAGGGAGAAGCACGACTTCAATGACATTTAGAGTTTCCTCCTAGGTACAGAGACAAGGCCATGTGTCTTTCAGCACTATTTATTCAAAGCATTTTACATCACAGCCGTGGCTGTGATTTCAGCAGGGAAACGCCATGACAGGAAATGCAAGGAGGATCCTTCTCTCTGACTCACTCTAGCAGAGAGGCCTTGGCACCAAAGCACCACCACCATTTTTTCCCCCCACTTTTGTCCTTCCTCAGTAATTTTTAGGACACAGGGCTGAGATGGGTGGCACTGAAGTGACAGCTCTGACACACAGCTGAAACCATCAGGGCCGGGGGGCATGTGCGACTGTTTTTCTTCTCCAGCAGAACAAGGCAAGCCAGAGTGTTCACACTGATACCAAGCGAGTTCAGCCAAGCCCAAAGGGAGTGCAGCCAAGCCAAGTGCAGCCCAGCAGGCTGGGAGGAAGAGGCAGCAAAGTGGCAGATCCCATTGCCACGCACACGCCCGGCGTGGCGGACTGATGGCAGCGGCAGTGCCAAACAGAGCTCCGCAGGGAGAGACAGACACCCATCACCATCGCCACTGCCACCAGCACTGCCGCAGAGAGGGAGCAGCAAACTGCCACTGCAGGGCCAGAGCTGCTCCCGGCAGCACCAGCAGCCCCCATCTACCATCAGAACCATGCTGGAAGCCCTGGCCATCCTGTCTTTGCTCCAGGGGCCCCGTGTGACACTGCACCTTTCTTGCTTAAGCCATTACCTCTTTCGCACAATTTTCTTCCTATTGTCGTCTACTGCTGCTTTTTTTTTTCCCCTCACTACATTATAACTCTAACATTCTCAGCTTCTCATAGATTGGTTTTTCCATTGTCCCCATCCATTGTGGTGGAGAAGGGGAGAGAGGAGAGGCTTTCCCAGGACTACCTCAAGAAGAGGACATAGAAAGGAGGGAAGGCCTTAGAAAGGAAAAACAACGCTCAGGATGCCTCTTTGGGAGGGAAGCAAATGTGCAAGCTTCTTAATATCCAGCCACAAATCTCTGGAGTCTTGACAGCCAAGAAGCACAGGAACCTGGAAACCTTGTTGTGAGACACTGGAGGACATTGCTGGCTCAAGCCCTTTCAGGCGCTTGTAGGTGGGGAAAGGGGCAGATCAAGCCTTGCTCTGCTGAGGCCATGCCCTACTCTGCACGCCCCACACCCCCAGGCCTGCATCCCAGCCCAGCTGTGGCCGCTGATCCCTGGCACACCAAAGGCTCCACACCTGTGTCTGGAGCCCCTAACCCAGCTCCTAAATGGCCAGGTGAGTGGCAGCCCCATGTGGGGGAAGGCCCCAGGAAAGCCAAAGGCTATTTACCTCGGGATGTGTGGCCACCACATCTCTTGACCCTACCTCCTCTTGGTCTCATTTGCAAGCTGAGCTTCCTATCCCCTTTCAAAGCCTTTCACAGTCTAGTGCTCTGTCAACAGTGCCTCAGTTCCCTGGTGGGAATTCTGAAGTCCTTTCCGAGAAGCCTTGCCTGAAAGAGAACAGGTCTGGCTTGCAGTGCATTGCTCTGGAGGCCTTAGGAAGTTGCTTTGCCAGCCCTTACCCACTTACTGGCCAAAAAACACATGTGAAAGACTGAAGCTTTGCCAGCTGTGACAGTGCCCCAAAGAGAAGGCAGTTAGGGGCAAAATAAGGAGAATTATTTTGGTGCTGGCACACACATCAGGTACCAGGTGGGTGAGAAAAGCCATCTGTAAATAGCTCAGCTGACAATCTGGGAGGGGAAGGTGCAAAGAAAGGCAGAGGTAGAAATCTCAAAGGAATGAGAGGACTATGGACAGAAGTTGAAACTAGCCAAAAGAAAAAACAACAAAAAAAAAAGAGTAATTGGATGAAATACTGATAAAATTCAGCAAGTCTTCTCTTGGTGCTGGATGGTGCATTGGGGGATAGTGTTGGCAGCTTTGGGTGCCCATCCCAAAGCCATCACCTGTTTTCCCTGTGCCCTGACGGGTTCAGACAGGCTGTTGATCTGCATGGCCACTCCCAGTTGGCCCCAGAGTCCTCTCCACTTCATGATCAGCTCACCATAAGTTTTCTGGCTGTCATCCGTTGTGGCTTCTCTTCTCCTGAGCCTTGGTGTTGGTCATTGTTGTCTGATGTGTGGCTGTGTGGTCATTTTTGGCCCGTGCCCTCCAGGACAAACCCCCACACTCCCCCTTTTTTGTTTTATTTAAAATGAAAGGTATAACAATCATAGTAAAAATAATATCTTCTTATACCTAAAACCAACACAATACTTAGTAGATTTTAACTAAACTTGGGAATTAAAATGAACAGGTGGGTTGATATTGCAGACATAAGCAAACAATAAGTAAATACAATTTTCATTTTCCCTCACTTCGCGGGCCCTGACTCCCAGATGGCTCCCCGCCACTTCATTCCCTTTCACTTACCCACAAAACAAAAGAGAACAGAAAATCAAAGCCAAAAGACTTATGGTGGAACCTTTCCCACGTGGCCTTCAGCAAACACAAGTCAAAAGAAAAGGTTTCATGGGGGACTAGAATGGGGGAACGTTCCGGTGGTGCAGGGCACAGAACTCCTGTGGGGGCAACAGAGTCGGTCCTCCAGCTGTTTTATTCTCAACTTCTATTGTAGCTCTGACCTCTGAAATATGTATTGCAGCAAAAATGGGAGTCTGCTAATACAAGAGGAAAGCAGGGGCAGGGTTGAGGGCAGTCAGAAAGTGGGTTAGGGTAGAATCCAGGACGCCATGGCCGGTGCCGTCCTGGCAAGGGGTCAGAAGAGGAGGGGAGATGGCAGATGGCTGGTGGCTCGCCTGTGCTTGCTCTTGAGCAGGTTCCATCTCCTGGCCTGTCCTTCCCAGGGACAATGGGTTCAGGGAAGTGGGGGAAGAACATGAAAACTGGGAAAGGAAGTCTATAAAATATAGTGCAACCAAAATTTATATTTAAATTTAAATGCTAGTCAAATATACCATCAGTTACCACCAAACATAGCAAAGTAAATGATTTTCAATAATCACGGTATCAAATGTATATTGAAACGATAAACAGGAGACCATGGGAGAGGTTAAAGTCTAGGGGACATTCTTCCAGGCCACAGCCCCAGGAAGTGCCCTAGCAGGCCCACAGGCCTCCACAGTGGCTCAGGCAGGTCCCAACTGCACAAGTTTTTGCTCCCTCATGTTGGCCTTGGTTCCCGTGGCAGAACTTGCCTTCCCGCTGGACACTCACCTGCGCCT